GAGGAGGAGGAGGAGGAGGAGGAGGCGAGGAGCGGCTGACCATGAGGCACGAAGCCCCAGTGCAGGTGGGGAACTCAGAGCCCAGGACGGGGTTATGGTCTGCCTTCAACTCCTTTCCGATTTATGGAGACCCTCCTAATTCATACCTTTCATGGGTCTTTCTTGGCAATATTTGTTCAGAGGGTGTTGTTGTTTTGTTTTTTGCCATGAGGCTGAGACAGTATGACTCGCGCAAGGTCACCTGATGGTTTTCTATGGCCGAGCCAGGATTCGAACCCAGGTCTCCAGAGTCGCAGTCCGACTCTCAAACCATGGCGCCACCTTGCCTGCCCTCTTATCCCTTCTTAAAGATTGTTCTTGCTGCTGTGTGCCTTCAGTCTTTTCCGATTTAGGATTTATGGCAAGGTTTCCTCAGTTGGGGCTCTGCCGTGGCCATCCTCTGAGGCTGAGAGAGTGTGACTCGCCCAAGGTCACCCAATGGGTTTTCATGGCCGAGCCGAGATTGGAACCCTGGTCCCTCAGAGTCGTCGACTCTCAAACGCAAAAAGTGCTACACCACTCTGGCTCCTGCGGTAAGACCTTGTAGAACTATACATCCCAGAGGACCATAGACTGGAGCGACAGCACTTAAAGCGGGGCCAAACTGTGTGATTTCTACAGTGCAGAGAGACCCTTAGACTAAGCATCCCTTCAGCCAGGGCTGTCATTGTGGGTCGAGATTTTGTCTCAAGAGGAGGAGGAGGAGGAGGAGGAAAAGGCTTCCTACAAATGTTATCAATGCATTCTGCCTTGCCTTCTTTTGGAAGGAATCTGATGGCTATTTCAACGAAGATAGGCCTTTTCTCCTATAGAATCTTAGATTTGGAAGGGATCCCCCAAGGGCCATCCAGTCCAGCCCCATTCTGCCATGCAGGAACTCTCAATCAAGGCACCCCCAACCGATGGCCATCCAGCCTCTCTTGAAAGGCTTCCTGGCAGCCATAACTGTTTTAGAATGGAATACACCGCCTTGGAGTCTAGTGTCTCCAAAGGAGACTCCACCAGACTCCAAGTCCAAGGCAGTGAATTTCATTATCAAACAGCTCTCACTGTCAGGAAGTTCTTCCTAAGGTTGAGCTGGAATCTGTAGTTTGCATCCATGGTTCCTTGTCTGATTCTCTGGAGCAGCAGAAAAAAAGCTTGCTTCATCCTCAATAGGACATCCCTTTCAAAATCACCTCTTAACCTTCTCTCCCCCAGGACCCTAAGTCAGGGGTAGGCAACCTTTCCCCTTTAAGGGCCGAGGGACTTCAGCTCCCAGAAGCCTCAGCCATGTTGGCCAATAGCTCCTGGGATTCTGGGAGCTGAAGTCCCTCGGCCCTTAAAGGGGAAAGGTTGCCTACCCCTGCCCTAAGTCTTCCGAGGCTGACTTCTAGGGTGCATCTGCACTGTAGAAACAAGGCAGTTTGACCCCGCTTTAAGTGCCCTGGCTCCTTCCTGCGGCATCCTGGGATGTGTAGTTTGGTGAGGCACCAGCACTCTCAGGCAGAGAAGGCAAAAGTCCTTGTTGGGTGCCTTCAAGTGGTTTCTGACTTATGGCGGCTCTAAGGCGACCCTTAGGCACTGGGGGATCATGGGCTTCATGTCAGGGGTGAATCCACATGCATGGAGCATGTGCCCATCCTTTAAAGAACATCCTTTAAAAACATGTCTGTCCACATGTGTCCATCCTTTTCAGAGGAACTACCCGAGGTTTGGTGTTTTTGTTGCTGCTGTTGTGTGCCTTCAAGCCTTTTCTGACTTGCGGCAACTTGTGGCTCATGGACCTTAAAATAAATAATAAAAATATTCAGAGGCAAATGGCACTCATGGAAGTCCATTTTCACCTGGGGGGGGGACACTAAGCAATGATGCTGTATGTCTCAGGGGTGTATGTGTGTGCATCTGTCGTTGTTGATTTTGTGGTTTTGTGCCTTCAAGTCCTTGCTGACCTATGGCAACCCTATTATGAAGTTTCCATCATGGCAAGATTTGTTCAGAAGGGGTGTGCTCTTGCCTTCTCCTGAGGCTGGGAGAGTGTGACTTGACCAAGGCCACCCAGTACATTTCATGGCCGAGCTGGGAACTGAACTTGATTGGGAGTTCCTGCATGGCAGGGGGTTGGACTGGATGGCCCTTGTGGTCTCTTTCAACTCTATGATTCTATGATTCTATGAACCCTGGCTTCCAGAGTCTCAGTCCAACACTCAAACCACTACGCCATGCTGGGACCTTGGAAGACCTTGTAAAACTACAAATCTTGGGATTCCATAGAATGGAGCTACAGCACTTAAAGCTGTGTCAGACTGCATTGTTTCTACAATGTAGATGTACCCCTGAGGTCCAGCATGACATAGTAGTTTGAGTGTTGGAGGGCGACTCTGGAGACCTCAGTTCCCCGCCCAGCCATGAAACCCCACTAGATGACCTTGGGCAAGTCACATGCTCTCAGCCTCAGGGAGTGGCAAGCCTTCTCTGAACAAAACTTGCCAAGAAAGCCCCATGATAGTTTCACCTTAGAGTCGCCATAAGTCCGGAAGGACTTGAAGGCACATAACAACAACAACAGCAACAGATGAACCCTTAGAAACATACATTATCATCGCTTAACATTCGGACTCGGGTGAAAATGGACTTCCATGATTGCCATTTGCATCTGAATATTTATTTGTTTGTTTTAGTGTCCATGAACCTCCCAGCTTTAAGGCTGACATCCTGAGCACATTTGTGCAGGGCTCTCACGCACCCTGAACAGAGCGTTTTTATTTCCAAGTAAAGATGCTCAGGAGTGTCGTGGATGAACATCAGCAGTGTATTCCTGAAGAAGTTGTTTCCCATTGAAGTTAAAGGAAAATGTTGAACCGCAGCCATCATGCTCAGGGCGCCCAGTGCCCAGTCCTCCTCTTCTAGGACATGTCCTACATTTCAACCTTCTGTCCAGGAGGAAATCCATAATGTGCTCCCTTTTGAGCATGACTAAGAAGCATGAATTTATACTTATATTAGCTCGCTTAGCTTTTATTTTATACATTTTTCTTGAATGTCCTACATTTTGCAGTGCCTTGCCCTCCTTTGCAGTTAGGATATCTGGTTACCTTGTCTTCCACTGAGAGATCTTTGCATGTTGAGACCTATTCTTGCCTTAAGGGGACTTGTGGAAGCCCATGAAGCCTCAATTCTTTTTCTGAAGCTAAATCATAGTGCAAATGTCTAAAACAGCTACATCCGCACTTCAGAAATAATCTAGTTTGACCCCACTTTAAGTAACATGGCTCTGGTGTTGCAACCAACTATAGTTCCCAGAATTCCATAGCATTGAGCCATGGCACTTAAAGTGGGGCCAAACTGGATTATTTCTGCAGTGCAGATGCAGCCAACGTCTTTACTGAGTCTTTCACCACCAGGTATATCACCTTGAGGATGGGGAGAAGAATATATGATGAATCTTAATAAAAAGGCAGAAATAGTTGTTTACGGTACTTATTAAGGAGATGTTGCTGTTCTGGAACAAAGAATCATGTATGACTCATAAAAACTGAGACCAACCCTACTGGGAATGTCTCTGTGTGAACACCTATGTTCTCCATGCTAGAGGAACAAAGTACATCTTTAAAATGTGCAAAGATATCACTTTTTTGTAGCCTAAAGATAACTCCTAGGATTGATTGAGTCATAATAATTTGCATGGTCTGCAATCCTATATGCACACTTGCTTAGGAATAAAACTCACTGAATATCATGAGACTTACTTCTCAGTAGACATTAACTGTAATTTCCTTAGTTTTACAGTAAAATGGATCACTGAAATATTAATTTTATCTTGGCATTAGAAGTTCAGCACTACTCACCAGATCTCTACAGCCAATGTTGTGAGCTATATCATTTCTATAATGTCTTCTCCATCTGGCAAGTGTGTTTACTCTCTTATAATGTGTTTTTGTGATATGATTCAGTTCAACTTCAGAAATCAAAAGAAAATGAGAACCTAACTTTGGCATTATTCATTCTTACTCAATGTCCCCTGATATAACATCTCTGTAGTAGATGTTGGGTGCGTGTGACTTTGAAAAGGGAGTAATAATTTATTCAGTTCAATTGCCCACATGCTGAATTCTTTTTTTAGCCTAGGAAGGAATTACAAATATCCTGACCCCAAAAACAAACACATGGAATAGTTGCCTAAATGCACAGGGAGTAAATCTTCAAAATGAGAACAGTGAAAGAAAAATGTATATATTTTCTTAATTAGAATTAAAATTGGGGGTTAGTTTTGCTGTTGGATTTCTTATAGCTGTTTCATCTGCAAAGGCAGCAATGCTCTGCACACTTACTTGAGATTAAAGTCTGTGTTGCTTTTCCTGCTGAGTAACCATGCATTGGATTGGGTTGCATGCCTGCAATAGTGCAGCGATACACTGTTGTTTGGGAATAAATCCAGTTAAATTCAGCTGGGCTTGTGTGAGCATGGACAGAATTAGGCTGCACAGACAATATTAAAACAAAACAAATGTTTTATTTCACATTTTCTTTGTGTGTATTCTGGGTCTCCATTTCTTTGGAGACCCTCATTTTCGTCACCACCTATGTACTTAGTTCTTTTCCCAACACACACACACACAACAGGTATGACAGATTCCACCCTCAAGAAGCATACAGTCTAAACCAAACACAAGGAAAAAACAGCAGAAAAGGTGATGGAGCTACGGCTAAGGAGAAAAAGAGTAGGCGATTACTTGGATGACATAGATTTTGGCTAGATTACAGTAGGAATTGAGGACTAAGAGATGATCCAAAGCCTTTCCAGAAAGCGCAAGGGGGGGGGGGAACAACTGAAGAAGACAGACAAAGATTGCAAGGAAGATACTGATATGTTGACAAGGCAACATTTTAAGGACCATGCATTCCAGGTATAAGGCAGGGCAAGGAAAAATGGATATTGTTCTCCATGCCGGGGAGTAGGAGGCCTTAAACAGCTGAGGATGGTGGCAACAGAGGAACGGAAGTAACAGAAACGGATATGCCAGAATATAAGCACCAAACTTGGGAAATTACTTTAAAATACATCCACACAATTTGTTCCTATTACATATTATAGGGTCCTGTCACACTAAACTATTATAGCACAATGATTCCACTTTAACTGCCATGGTAATATCTTACGGAATCTTGGGATTTGCAGTTTAGGTAGGGTTATTTACCATTCTCAGTGAGAGAGCTCTAGTGCCTCGCCAAACTACAGACCCCCAGCTATACCAGTTAAAGTGGCATCATGGTGCTATAACTGTGTAGTGTGAAAAGGCCCATAATGT